ATGCACAATACATTTATTGCACCAGATACCATTAAAAGCAAATCTTCATCTGCAGTTCCTGGGTGATGCACATTTATAAACACAACCTGCTAGTGAAGCATTACTAAAACATTAAAACAGCTTTTTGCTTGTTCCTTCAGGTTGTCTGTGATCGATGAGTCGTCTTTCCTGTCTCACTCTGACATCAGCTACGATCGGACTGATGATGACGTGGTAAAAACCTTTACCTGTCAGTTTGATAAACATCTATTTATCAAACTGACACACAACAGGATGGACTACTTTCACTGACCACGCTAATTTTAAATGTTCACAGTCAGTTTCCATAAATTTGGTTTATAGGTTTTTACTTTTTTCTCTCTCTGTCAGTTGTTGATTTTGTTTAATTTTTAATAAAAACAACTTGAAAACAATTGAAGCCAGATGCAGATGGCAAGAACGGTTTATTTATATACTACACGACCTTTTTAACAGGAGAATTCAAAGTGCTTCATATAAGACATAAAATAACTTTAACACTAGTCTTTTGTGTGTTATTTCCTTAAGACTGTCTTGTTGGTCAACTCTGCCTAAAAAGTAAAGAAATTAAGTAAAACCTGACAGTATATCAAGTTTTTGTCATAGCAAATTGTGGCAAACATTACACACCCTGCTGTCTGTTAGAAAAAGTGGGCTGATGTGATATGTATTTGTTTTCCTGGTGTTTTAGGATCTGGACACAACGATACTTAAACCTCTGCGATCTCGAGCTCGAGAGAGGAGGGTAAACATCTCCTACATTTACATATTTCTCAGTGTGTAAGAACTTTACTGTGTTGCATTACAAACACACATTATTCCAGGTTTGTGCCTGTAATGACATTCAACCACAAGATCAGGCCTTGATCTATCCACCTTCAACAACCATAAATTAGTTTCAATATGAATACTTCCAGGCAGTCCTGGGAGATATTCCAGAGGTAAATTCCTTTAATTGCAGCCACGTTTCCCTCATTTCTTTCCTAGTGTTTCTGCCCATGTAAGATGATAACTTGCCTCTGTCCAGCACAGCCTTTCCTCAGTCACACTGTCGAGATAACAATCTGTCCTTATGTTCAAACATCCCACATTGTGGATTGACCCTCAGTTCAGAGTAAAATTCTACAGTCTTCCCTGTCTGTACTGTTCACAATGATTTTGGACAGTGACAAGTCAAGTGGTCAATCAGTTACACTGACTGTAGCGAACAGTTTCCATAGCCTACCTTCATCGCTGTAGGCCCAAACTAAAAATAAGTTTGCGTGGCGCTTTAGACACATAAGACACTAAAGAATTTATTATTGCTTTTCCTTGTATGACTGCCCTTTTGTGAAACAATGTGTGTAAAGTAACAGCTGACTTTTGCATGTGCTATATAAGTAACCTTGCGTTCTGTTGGCTGTGTGCAGCGCTCGTCGATGGCCCTGGCTGTCTGTGCACCAGCTCTGAAACGAGGGAGACATAGTAACCTGTCTGCAGAGCTGCTGGAGAGAAAGTCTGTGGAGAAGGTGAACACATCAATAAGATTACTATCAGTCATTTTGTTTAGATTTATAAACCCATGTTTTCAGATGTTAATGAGCATAATGTGAGATTTTGATCTACTGTTGATCTTTTGAGAAATGCTGTGGCTGAAAGGAGGCATTTTAAAATGCAGGTTGTTATTGTAAATCTACATTAGCAGCTAAAAATATAGACTTAAATTTAATGTAACCAAGTGTATAATTTTCATCTTAACCAACCTTTTTTGAATCGTGTTTTTGTCCCCAAAAGACACGTCTGGTGTAAACAGTTTCCTCTGGCTACAGACTCTCTCCCACCTTATTGTCAGTGGTGGGGAAAAATAATCCGATTATTTACTCAAGTCAAATTAGTCATGTTCCAATGTAAATCTAAGTAAATGTATCAAAAGTAAAAGTACAAAAAATGGTATTAGGATTTTTGTATTAATCATTTATCAATAAGTTGCATTTTACTGCAGCAGCAAATTTGAACTGCTTCATATAGTGTTGGTTAATTTAGCAGTATGTTAGAAACTGATCACATGTTTATGTAGATTTTGAATGTGTACAGAAAGAAGTAAATACAGATATCAGATAAATGTAGTTCAGTAAAGGTTATGTTTTCCTTTTGAAATGTAGAATTATGAAGTGACTAATGTACTTATTTACCTGTACTTTCCACCACTGAGGTCACCTCTTCCACCTCATTTGTATTTACTGTTTATTTAATGAATGAATGAATGAATGAATGAAAATGAGAAGTCGCTTCTTTCCGCTTCAGAATGTCTCCGTCATGAAATGGTTTGTATGAATCAGTTAATCAAGAAACTAACTGGAAGATGAATTGAAAATAATTATTAGTTGCAGCATTGGTCTGTGTCCCAGAAAACTGAAGCATTAACTGTTTAGAACAGTTGATCAGTGATGGGTGGGAAGCCTCATCATTCTGTGTTTTTTATTTTATTTTAAGAACTTGAAGCAGTAGAAGTCTAAAGTTGAGGTTGTGTTTGACTCAGGAGGCTGAGACGATTGTAAAGACGTCACTGGTGACTCCTGTGCCCGGAGGTCAAATCCACGTGGTGGTGGGACTTGCACATGACACCCCTGAAAAATCAGTTCAGACCCTCATCCATGAATGTGCTGTTTCAGTGGGGGAAACAGGAGGAGGTGAGGTTATAAACATTATATTTGGGGGGGCTTTATATATTGTAGATTTGATAAGGGAACAATTAATTGACTTGACATTTTAGCATAAGTCTGCAGTATAACAAATATGAAAAAACTGAAGGGGTCTGAATATTTTCTGACCTAACTGTATAGTCGTGCTATGGAGCAGTGTTTCTATGGACTATGTTATTTATTTATTTAATGGGTCCCCATTTTGTTTGTGTCGTGCACAAGGACACACATACGCAAATGTGTGCATCCATGCACCTGGGAGAAGTGATAAACGTTCTGCAAGGTGACAGAAATGCAGCATAAATGCAGGAAAGAAGCCTGTAGCTTGTAAACATATGTAAACAGCTTATTTCAAACGAACAAACAAAAAATCAGTTTTAAAAGTGTTTTATATGAAAGGAGATACATTTATTATGTTTACATAGTATGCGCTGTGAAAAACCAAATGTAAATATAGCTTTACTTCACAGGGCACCTTTTAATTTTAGTAGACTTATGCTCTACATAAGATGACAACATGCTGCTGTTGATTAGCTGCGTTACATTTGGCTGTGCCTGCATGCCACTTGTTACGTAGCAGCAAGGGCGAGGAGCCCTCTTACAGTTTTTCTCAGCCGCTTTTACATTTCTTGATTCATCCTTGATGTTTGCACAAGAGTAAGAGCATTTCTTGAAACTGTTCATGCAAACTGCACCACACAATGGGCTACCTGCAAAAGAGCATCACTTGACCAAAAGACTTATTTTATCTCTCAAAAGTAAATATGTCAGAACATCTCAGTGCTAGCAGAATGACAAGTTCATTGGGAACATGCTTTCTGTATGTCCTTGGCCTTTTCTCCATCTCCCTCTGTTTTGCCTCCCTACCTTTCCACCACACAAGCCTATTCTTCTTCTTCTCTGGCAGCTGGCACTGTTCATTTCCTTGTTCTTTCATTAACGCTGTACTGTGCTCTGTCTTTATATGCTTGCCAGTTGAAGATTCATGAGATGCGCCTCAGCTATTTCACAGTAGAGAACTTGTTAATCATTGGTTGATCTAACACTTCACAAATTCTCTTTCAGTAGTGAAAGTCAAGATTCACCTGAGAGTAACTCAACAATTCAGATACATTTGCAAAAAAAGTCTAACAGAGCTGTACAGAAATATACCTGACACATACTAAAGACAACTACTGTAATGACATCTACAATAATTAATGACAAGTTCTTCTGCGAGGTCAGACTGTTCAGCAAAGAACACTAATACATTTTGGTCAACATGACATAAGAAATTGATAATGTAGAAAACAACTTGACAGTTATGCACAATCATTTGCAGTTTGTTAAAAACCATTAGCAATTGCATAAATGTAGTTCAGTAAAGGTTATGTTTTCCTTTTGAAATGTAGAATTATGAAGTGACTAATGTACTTATTTACCTGTACTTTCCACCACTGAGGTCACCTCGTTTGTCTCATTTGTATTTACTGTTTATTTAATGAATGAATGAATGAATGAATGAAAATGAGAAGTCGCTTCTTTCCGCTTCAGAATGTCTCCGTCATGAAATGGTTTGTATGAATCAGTTAATCAAGAAACTAACTGGAAGATGAATTGAAAATAATTATTAGTTGCAGCATTGGTCTGTGTCCCAGAAAACTGAAGCATTAACTGTTTAGAACAGTTGATCAGTGATGGGTGGGAAGCCTCATCATTCTGTGTTTTTTATTTTATTTTAAGAACTTGAAGCAGTAGAAGTCTAAAGTTGAGGTTGTGTTTGACTCAGGAGGCTGAGACGATTGTAAAGACGTCACTGGTGACTCCTGTGCCCGGAGGTCAAATCCACGTGGTGGTGGGACTTGCACATGACACCCCTGAAAAATCAGTTCAGACCCTCATCCATGAATGTGCTGTTTCAGTGGGGGAAACAGGAGGAGGTGAGGTTATAAACATTATATTTGGGGGGGCTTTATATATTGTAGATTTGATAAGGGAACAATTAATTGACTTGACATTTTAGCATAAGTCTGCAGTATAACAAATATGAAAAAACTGAAGGGGTCTGAATATTTTCTGACCTAACTGTATAGTCGTGCTATGGAGCAGTGTTTCTATGGACTATGTTATTTATTTATTTAATGGGTCCCCATTTTGTTTGTGTCGTGCACAAGGACACACATACGCAAATGTGTGCATCCATGCACCTGGGAGAAGTGATAAACGTTCTGCAAGGTGACAGAAATGCAGCATAAATGCAGGAAAGAAGCCTGTAGCTTGTAAACATATGTAAACAGCTTATTTCAAACGAACAAACAAAAAATCAGTTTTAAAAGTGTTTTATATGAAAGGAGATACATTTATTATGTTTACATAGTATGCGCTGTGAAAAACCAAATGTAAATATAGCTTTACTTCACAGGGCACCTTTTAATTTTAGTAGACTTATGCTCTACATAAGATGACAACATGCTGCTGTTGATTAGCTGCGTTACATTTGGCTGTGCCTGCATGCCACTTGTTACGTAGCAGCAAGGGCGAGGAGCCCTCTTACAGTTTTTCTCAGCCGCTTTTACATTTCTTGATTCATCCTTGATGTTTGCACAAGAGTAAGAGCATTTCTTGAAACTGTTCATGCAAACTGCACCACACAATGGGCTACCTGCAAAAGAGCATCACTTGACCAAAAGACTTATTTTATCTCTCAAAAGTAAATATGTCAGAACATCTCAGTGCTAGCAGAATGACAAGTTCATTGGGAACATGCTTTCTGTATGTCCTTGGCCTTTTCTCCCTCTCCCTCTGTTTTGCCTCCCTACCTTTCCACCACACAAGCCTATTCTTCTTCTTCTCTGGCAGCTGGCACTGTTAATTTCCTTGTTCTTTCATTAACGCTGTACTGTGCTCTGTCTTTATATGCTTGCCAGTTGAAGATTCATGAGATGCGCCTCAGCTATTTCACAGTAGAGAACTTGTTAATCATTGGTTGATCTAACACTTCACAAATTCTCTTTCAGTAGTGAAAGTCAAGATTCACCTGAGAGTAACTCAACAATTCAGATACATTTGCAAAAAAAGTCTAACAGAGCTGTACAGAAATATACCTGACACATACTAAAGACAACTACTGTAATGACATCTACAATAATTAATGACAAGTTCTTCTGCGAGGTCAGACTGTTCAGCAAAGAACACTAATACATTTTGGTCAACATGACATAAGAAATTGATAATGTAGAAAACAACTTGACAGTTATGCACAATCATTTGCAGTTTATTAAAAACCATTAGCAATTGCTTATGATGTGCACAAGTGACTGGATGATGTGGAGGTTGAACAAGCTCTTTTGAAAATTTCATTTTTGATCCAAGAAATATACGAAAGCAACTGAGACAAGCTGTAAAGGGAGTGTAGATGGCACATGAAGCTGCCATGTGATGCTGATCTTCATCTGCTGATAACAGTGGATAGTAACTTGAGAAAAGATCTTGTCATATTGAGCAGCATGATGTCTCTACTTTTGAGTGACAATAAGGGAAGAGGCTACGTTACATATCATGGACTGAATACTGCCTCAGATACCAAGACACTATCATAATAATTTCATTCAAACATGTTAACTGTTAAGCTTGGTGTAATATTTCCAGTTGGTATTTATTTGCCTTATCTGTAGAGTATCTGATTTCCAGAAGTCTCTACTGTGGGAGAATGTGGTGCCCACATTTTCTAATCGGTGTTGCAAAACTAACATTGTGTTAATTGTAGGGTGAAGACTATGGTTCTCTGTTGGACTCCGCATGCTATTTTGTTGACTTGTCACATTTCGCTGTGACTGCAGGTCGGCACAAGCAGAATTCAAATAGAATGGAGACCACACCCGTCCAGCATAAACTGCCACCATGTTTGAGTTTTGGTGCACACCCACCATAAGCCAGGGGTGTAAACATAGACACCCAGATATTCATATAAATCACAGACACCCCCAGATCTTGTCTGATCTGAAATGTAATAAAAAATTCTTCAGAATGTTCTTTAGTCTTTTTTTTATTTATTTATAAACCAGTTTAAAAAATTGATACCACACACCAAAATGTGCCAGACAGGTTGACCTGGAGCACAGACTGTTGTTAATAGAGGTGGACAGTTGAGTTAATGTCACTTCTAGTCTCTTGGAGAAGGCTGCTGTTACTGTGAATATCTGTTGGAGGTGGAAAACCAGTGGTATTATGTTTTTGTGACAGTCTCTAAAAACTATGACAGTGTTACTGTTCCTCAGACCAAACGTCAGTGTGGGCTCCCTGTGATGAGACCAATGAAGTCGAGATGGAGAATGGTAGTGCAGTCACTGCTGCTTCCACCTGCAGAGCTGAGAAAACCCTGAAACATGTTTTTGTTTCTAAAACGGTACGAAGTCACAGATACACTGGCTTGCATTAAGATCAGCATCTGCTCTGTCAGGGTAACTTACTGATCTTTCTCCAGGTGATTTGGACAGAGATGTGCTCACTCTGTGGTAAGAGAGTCCGCTTTGGGAAGATGGTGGCGAAGTGTAGAAACTGTCGTGTGGTCGTTCATCAAGAATGCCAGCAGAAACTTACAGATGGCTGCTCGCCCACCATTACCACAACAGGAGCTACAACTCAGATGGTACCTCATTTATATTTGTGTTTCTAGTACGTTGTGACAACTGAAGAGTTTATCCTCATTCAGACAAGATTAACATTGCAGGCATAGGTGGGGAATGAACTCTCTGCTGTGACTTGTACACAGGATATCATTATCTCTTGTCCATCAAGAATAAACCTCCATAAGAACAAGGACTGCTTTGTTTCAGTTGTAAGTAACATCCTAGTGTACAACAATGATGTGGGGTTCCCCAAGGCTCCATCCACGGGACTCTTCTGTTTAAGTTTTACATGCTACCACTAGCTCAGATTATATATTGCTTATTATCCCCAAAGACCAGACCTCATAGATGGTCTGGGGAAACTAGCTGGATGATGTCATATGTTCCTTTTTTAAATGAAAAAGTTGTTCTTCCTCTCCAGGACTCATTGGAGGACTTTGCTCCAGTGACTCACCCAAGAGTGCCTCAGCTGATCGTGGAGTGTGTCACTGAGATCGAGAGGAGGGGGTTGGAGGAGGTAAGCTTCTCCATACAGGCTTTAAGGCTGTTTTCAGATCTACTGCATGTTGTTCAGTTTAGTTAAGTCAGAAAACCCAGCAAGTTTAGCAGCTCAACTCAAACCAGAGAGAGCCTTTTGACAGGTTTTAAAAACAACCTAAGGTTGGATTTATACATCTGGGTGTTAAGAGTTAATGTTGTACCTACAGCAACTACATGTGTAGGCCTTAAAAACTTAACTCCAGGTTGGCGCAACAGAGATACCACAAGAATATTGCAATGGCTGTGATTGGCTGCTTGTATTTTCCCCTCATATTTCTTCTGCCAGTGAGTTTGTGGGAAGTTCGGACAAGAAGAAGTTTATTAGACTGTCATGATGTTTTTGCTAACAAATATCTAACTAAGTGGTTACACTGCAAACCCTGTGCTCATTGTGATCTATATGAACAAACTATAAATCAAACCTCCATCTAGATACCTACAGTCTGGGTGGACTCCTAACCTGCTGTGTGTGTCTGTCTGTTTGCAGAGAGGACTCTACAGAGTTCCTGGAGGAGAGCGTCTGGTGAGGGAGCTCAGGGATGAGTTCATGCAGGGGAAAACGCCACTTATGCTCAGTAAAGTAAATGACATCCATGTGGTGTGTGGCCTTTTGAAAGACTTTCTGAGGAAACTGAAGGAGCCTCTGCTCACCTTCAAACTGCACAGGACCTTCATGGAGGCTTCAGGTACAAAAACTGAGCACTGACCCTACTCACAGAGTTACCATCTGAAAACCTCACAGCACCAATTAAAACGTCACCTGATTAGGCAGGAAAATGCTAGTTTTTATTTTTACAGAACAAAATCAATAACCTGGATATCAACATACCAGAAAATCAATAACCTATGTACTATATTATCACCAGACCATGCACAAGACCATCAATAAGCGACAGCGGATATTATTTTTTCTTATCATTAGTAACTTGGATTTCCAGGGGACTGTGTAAAGGAAAATGATTTGGGGGGGAAAATAAGGGAAGTGCTTTTGAACAAAAAGTCTAATCCTGAACAAAATAACTACAAATTCTATAAACTAGACATTTAACGATACAGCCTCTTGCTCTGCATAGTTACAGCTGAGGTCACCTCTTAACTGCCACACTGTCTTTGTTCAGAGCTGCCTGATGAAGACAACAGCTGTGCCGTCATGTATCAGGCTGTAGCAGAGCTGCCGAAGGCCAACAGAGACACACTGGCGTTCCTCATGCTTCACTTGCAAAAGTGAGACCTTTCAGCTCTTCTCTGAAGTCTTCTTATTGAAAGAAACAAATTATCAGCTCAGCAGCTGTGGTGACCACCTGAGGAGCTGGATTTTATTTTCATGTATTAAATGTCAGCGGGTTAAAATGTGTCTGAGGGCCTGCTAGTTTTTGCTATGTTTTACAGAGTGCTGTCAGTGGTTTCACTTGAACAGTTGGCATGCTGCTCCTGTTCTAGTTTGCCTCGTGAACACCCCCCACCCCTGTCATGTACTGTACTGATTTTCTGTATATTTTGTCAGGGTGATGAAGAGGCCCCAGTGCCAGATGGACCGGAATAATTTGGCCCGGGTGTTTGGGCCAACTATAGTGGGGCATGAGATGTCTGAACCATCTCCATCAACCATCCTGAGAGACATAAACACTCAGCCAAAGGTCAGCTTCATTATAAACACCCAGTCCAGGAGTGAGTGGGTAGCTGGAAATAGTTGAACATCAGCATTGTGAGGCAATCTTTACATGTTCCTTTGAGCTGTCTATGAAAGTAACACAACATGGGTGTTAACCCTGAACACTGTATTTGAATTACTCATCTGTACTTCCAGTGTTTCCTCAAGTGTGCTGCTTTTGTCTCAGGTGATTTGTCGCCTGTTGTCCCTCCCTGAAGACTATTGGAAATGTATCCTTGACATCCCGACCGATCAGACATCATCCTCCAAAGCCAACAGCCAGAACCCTGGACGTGGTGAGGTTACAGATGTTAAACGGTGTCTTCAGAAAAAATTGACCCTTTTTCCACACTTTGTTTGTAGATTTAATTTGGAGTGGATAACATTGCTATTTTGTCTATCAAGCTACACTCAATAATGCATCCTCTTATCTTGTTTTTATGGCTGACAATCTTGTTTCCAGGTCGGTTGTTTAGGCCACTGACTTCTCCAGAGATGAAGAGTCACCGCGCCACTCCCAGCAGCAGCTCTCTGAGAGGCAGAATCAGGAACCTGGAGAATACTGTCACCAACACGTAAGAGAACAGCAAACTAGGTCCAACGCTCAGACCAGTAACCAGATCTCATTACATTTAATAAAGGCTTGCAGTCGACAAACCTGTGGTCCGTTCAGCGATGAAACGTTTTCAGTGTCCAACCACAAACACCTCTGTCAGTCTGACCAACAACCAATCAGCCTGTCAGCAGACCAGAGCTGAAATGAATTGGTCATTATAGTTATCTTCAAAGTAAAGAGTTCAAAATCCAGAGTCCGTCATTCAATTTTGGCAGTTTTATATCATTGTAAAGTATCTGTAATGGATAGATACAGTAACAGATACTACTGTTACTGGTATTTTAATGAGTAAATGCACCCTAAATTATTTTTTGTTCAGTTCCTCCTCTGGCCCCTGACTGTGACAACATAGGCAAGACTCTGAGGTCTCTTTTTTATTCAGCTTCTCACCACCCCCCATGAGCTGCACGAAGCACATTAACATTAGTGAATCTGACTGTGACTGAGATTTATTCCTCAGCAGAGGCAGTGAACACATCACACAGACCTGCTGATACTGCTACTGTATTCAAAGTGTAGGTATTTAGGGGTGGTGAACAGGAACGGTAACTGATAAACAGGGCTCTGGCTATGTACTGACACTCCTCTCATAGGAGAGCTGCTAGCTCAGCTACAACACAGGTATCCACACAGTGACTCTCTTACAGGGGCATAAACATGCTTATAGTTTGTGGACTCAGATTTCTCTCCTGTGTTTTTGTTTTCTCTCCTTAGGGGTCGCGTTCCGCAGGGGAGGAAGTTCTTCGCGTCACCCACTTGACCCAGTCACCTGCTCTCAAACCACTCACCTGTCAAATCTATAACACACAGTTACCGTATATCCAGTATACACTATGTATTAATCCTATATACGGCATGTAGTCTACAGAATCTTATAACCAGTAGGTAGAACATACTGGTTCTTTGGAAGAAAATTTAAATGTGTCGTTTGTGCTACAAAGCACAAACTGATTTTTAGGATTTCTGACTCAGTCAAATACTGTAATGACAATACTAACACTTGAAAGACGGATTCAGAAATGCACTAAAACAAATAATATTGTTGCCTATAATTTGTGGTTGTACATTTCCAGCATGTGGATGAGGCTGGTCAGACTGGTCGGCCATGACAGTGACATGTATCTGAGTAGAAGCACCAATCAAACTAAAGCTTCCTGCTGCTGTTGGTTGTAATAAATGAAATGTAAATTTTAATAGATCAACATGTGAAGTGAAATTTCTGTATGACTATGGTGATGACCTGGTATCAGATATTTCAGGTTTCAGACTGAGCTCACCCAGGTTTTTCTGGGGTTTTGATTCAATTAAAGAACTTTAAATTGTGAAAATTAAAAGTGCTTCCATGTTTTGTATTTAAAGAAAATAAATAAAAATAAAATATTTAATTTGATGATGACTTTAGGTTTTATTTTGTTCCAGAGTGAGATATAATGTTGGCTGTAAAACCAGTTTAGAAACAGAGGAACATCATTTGAGCTTTGAGCTCTGTTCATCGCCAACCTTCCTTCTGTCAGCAGCTCATTTTCGTTCATCCAGAGTTGCATGATTCACCGTCAACCCCAACCTAGAGAAAGACCCTGCATTCATCACCTCGTCCATCACTGTTGACAGAAACCAGCACATCATGAGTTGACACTGTACACAAAAACACACTCATAAAACACTCTAACGGTGCCATGTATCACCAGAGAGAGAGAGGTGATAGACTTAATGTGATGTCACTGAGGTGACAGATTACATCAAGTTATAGGTGATGATGTCACCCTGTACGGTGATACAGTGTTCACCTGGACAGGGACCTGTTAACTCTATATAATGGTATTTTACCTGTTTGTTACTCAGTTGAGTGTGGAGGTCAGTTGACAATTTGACCCTGACTGTTAAAGTAATCCAGCTGTTCTGCATTATACAGAGAGCTGCTTCTGTTATTTTGTCCACCCAGAAACACCTCTTTGTATAACGCAGTACAAACCACAGCCTTAGCAAAGATCATCCAGTTGAATCAACACCTCTCTGAAAAACGTAACATTATCACCTTCACGAAGGTGGATTTCTTGCAGGACTGTTGGATTAGACTGACTTAATTTTAGTTAGGTGTACCTAATAAAATGCCAACTGACTGTACTCTTGCTCCACACAAACAGGCTGCATGCATCACTGACTGTTCTACTGGGAATATATTAGCCATGATGTGATTAAATATATAGATATCACTTTGTAATAAATCGTTATTGATCTTAGAGTTTTATACAGTGTATTGTTTTTTAACCATGGGGACTTGACTACTGTAGGTGACAGTAGTTGGGCTGGTCTGCTCTGCAAACCAGAAGGAGAAGAGAACAGGCAGGAGAGATCGAAGGAGGTGTTGAGGAAATGAGAGAAGAAGAGGAGGAAGAAGAAATTATTGTGAAGATGAAACTGAAGCAGGGAGTGATGAACGGGTTTTGTAAGGCTGAGGAAAACGTCATGTGACTGTTATCTGTAGGCTCCTTGATGAATGACACCTTTGACTGATTTGATCCAGTGTTAACCAAAAATACTAATTAAAGTAGCTTTTACCACAACCATCAGACTACAAGCAACAAAGATAGTAAACCTGCCCAGAGAAGTAAGTTTTAGCTCCTGTCTAGTTTGCTAACACAAAAAAACATCTTAACATAAAATCCTGGCTCCCTAGTATACGTCAACTGGGACTTCACATACTATGTATGTGTTAGTGATGTTCACTTTTTTCACCTGCGACCACAGCAAACAGTTCTAGATGAATCTAGGCTGTTACTGTACATGCTCAGACAGCTGCTACTGTCGGCTGTGAACAAAAACTGATATTGTCCTAGCGGAGCTTTAGGTAAAAGCAGGTGAGTTTCTCTTTGGAATAATGACTAAAGGAATAACTAATCATTGATAACAGTACAAATTTAAAACCATAATCATTCAGGGCATAATAAACAGGTTGGTGCATCAGTATTTTGGGACAAAATATAACCTGATCAACCAAAACATTATGCCTCAAACCATCCTTTTAATTCTCACTTCATTCTGAATCAAAGGAACTTTGTCAGATTTTAATGTAATATATAAATTGTAAACTATCACACACCAGTGAATCTTTCTGACAGCTAATGATTACCTTATATTTCCTGGATCTAAGCAAAGTAAAGTTAAGCACTTTTTGATTGGTGTTTAAATTTTATGTGCCAGTAATTTGGCCGAATTGTAACCCAAGTGTCTGAGCACCAGCAGGCTGTAATCACCAACAGGAACAGATGCTGTATAGTTTTATATGTAGAGTCAGCTTTTCCTGGACTTTGGTTGAGTCCTGGATCAGCAGAATAGCACTAGCAACTTAACATGCTATGAAATGTATGTAAATGAATGTGCTCCCTGCTGTCATACAGTGACTATGTAAGGAGCAGATAAAATGCCGTTGCTCTGACTTTTGGCTTGAGAAACAACGAAGCGACTGTGTGAGGCATTTTAATACTGGCATGAGTGGACCAGCTCTCACAGTACACACAAGTCTGACTTCTGGTTTCTCAGCATTTTTAATGCTTCACATTGCTGTTGTTAATAATTAAATAAAGAAAATACCACAGTTAACTTTTTTTATATGTAGACAGAAATTTTGATTTTGTCATCTCTAAAGTTCCTTGTGCAGTCTTTTATTTGCAGAGGCTTTTATGAGGTGAGGTTACTGGTCCAAATCCTCGTATCCAGAAGCCTTGAATCACATGGTGTTAAAGGACTTTGGTCAGTGGAAATTGCTGTCTTGTGAGAGATGCTCCTAAACTGCTAGTCAGTCAGAAACACAGAGATGCACGAGTGACAACTTCGTCCTCTCTTCAGGTATGAAGTTAAATGTTATTGTTATTTTGCAACCACAGCAGCTTAAATCTGTGTGCAGTGATAATGTTGTCACTGTGTGATGCTTTACTTATGGATTGCACAAGTTTATGGAATATAAGTTAGGATAACAGTGTCTCTTTTTGAAATTTAGATCATATGCCATTTTATCATTTTCTGACAGGAAGAAGTCTTAGAAACAATAGAATTGTATGTTATACAATAGCACACAGTCATACTGAGGTGTAAGCTTGGTTTGCAGTGTGAGTACAGAGGTTCATAAACATTAACAGAGTCAGATGACTGGCAGCGTGACAGTATATTAACTTAGATAAACATAAACCTTAGCTGTTTGCTTGAATAATTCATCATTTCCACTCCACGAACAGAACCTTGTCTAAGATGAAGTAATCCTATAGTTTCTGTTACAAAGCATTTATGAGCATAAACGTACAAAGTGCTGTTTATGGCAATTCAAGGTACTATTTCCTTATTTTAGCTGCTGTTAGAAGGCCTATTATGGAGGTGTTTGGCCTGAGGAGGACTCAGTCCCTGAGGACTCTTTCTGGGGTTCAGGAGAGGTCATGGGTCACGCCAGCTCTGACTCGCTGGGGCAGGAAGTCTGTGTCTGAGCTGATACAACAGTAAGTTCTGCACAATACATGTATGCACATTCAAATAGCTTTAGTTCACTTTAGAAGCTAAATTTACTGAGCATGTTGGATCCTTTCCTGCCCCATCCTGCTTCACATACTTCATATCCATTCATTATACACACAAAGGGCTTCCCAGTTCTTTTCTGGTTGTCACTGAGTAATGAAAGTTGAGTATTTGTGTTTTGCACAAAGACACGCAGACAATTTCCCTTTTATTGTTCACAAATTCCCAGCTGATCTTTGGGCTCAAACCAGTCACAGTTAATACATTTGCAATTACATTTGTTCAAACAGTTACCAAAGCTGTGCTGATCTGAGAAGCAGTGAAAAAGTTAAGCATAAACTCCAGGTAGTACATCTTTGTTTTTTCTTTCTTTCATCATGACAACCAAACAACAGCCCTGTCCAAAGACACACTTAACGATCACTTGCTGCCTTCCAGGTGTCAGAAAGCTGTGTGGACAGTCAATGGAGAAAGATGGAGTGCCAGGAGAATGTGGCCTTCTTGAGGTTGGGAAGAAGCTCCAGTCTGTCCAGGAGTCACTCCATGGACTTCCTCCCTCAGAAGGAGGCTTCCAGTACTAAAGCTCTGTGTGCCCTGTTTGAGTCCAAGGCCACCCTGCAGCAGGACTTCCACAGCAGGCCGCGACTGAATTCAATGTCAGCTGCTGGCAACAGGATAGAAAGAGACTGCCCTCTGCAGGACTGGAGAGGTCATAACACCTCATTAAAGGATATCTCCATTGAGGTGCTTTAGCATTGTTTTATTTATGAGAACTTAATATAATAAAATAATAATGTATATCCCAGATTTAACCGCACAGTTGGTATTCATAGATCCTTGGTTCTTTATATCCTAGACTCTGCCAACCAAATAACTCCAGAGAGACAAAATAGTTTGATTTGATTTGATTTGACTTGATTTATTTATTCTTTCAAACATGTAACAACAGTCAGTATGTAATCACACATAATTCCAGACATATCCACAAAAATATTTTCAATTTGCTTATACCTAGTACATGCTTGAACAGAGTAGGAAGAAGTTAGACTTATTTAGTCCTACCCCCTAACATCATCTTATCATCATTGGTTTGAAAGCAGTATTACTACATGGATACATATTCTACATCCACACTCCCATCTGATTAATCATTAAGCCTGTTCTTGCCCATATCTTGATTGACACATACCTTTATATCTGTGTTTAAACTCATCAATTTTCTTACTGTTTTTTATGTCCATACTTAAATTATTCCATAGTTTTACTCCAGCTCTTTTTTGTAATATATACAATGGTTGAAGTGAGCTTTTGTATGTATTTCCCCAGTTTTCAACGCCATACTCCAAGTATGGTAAAATCAATGAAGAATACAAAATACGTAGTGCTTTTATGTCCAAAATATGTCTGACCCTCGCCAATATCGCTATGTTTTTTGCTATTTTATGCTGAATATATCTGATATGAGATTTCCAGGTGAATTTATCATCAACTATGACACCTAGAAATTTAATTTCATATACTCGTTCTATATTAGCTCCCCCTATTTTCACTTGCAGTTCGTTATCTAGTCTACGATTCCCAAATACCATGAATTTAGTTTTATCCAAATTCAGAGATACTATATTACTATCACACCATTTCTTTATCTTCACAAGTTCCTGTGAAACCTGTCCCGAGAGTTGCTGTGGGTTGTCCCCTGATGCCCATATCATAGTGTCATCAGCAAATAAGACCATTTTCACAAAAGCCAAAACCTTGCACATATCGTTAATGTATAATATGAATAATTTCGGTCCCAAGACTGAACCTTGAGGCACTCCACATACAATGTCCAGTTCACTCGACTGATGTTCACCCAACTTCACAAATTGGCGCCTCTGCATCAAATAACTACTAATCCAATTCAAAGCCACTCCTCTGATCCCGTATTTTTCACTGAGTTTCACATATTGTTAACAATGCATAATAACACAACACTGTTCATCCAGGTGCCTGCAAGAATTTAGTGACCTGCTTTGCTGAAGAGTTGGAGCTACATTTTGTCTGCTAGCACTAGGGCTGAGCTGGTGCTGCTATGCTACACCTATCAGCACATGACCCAAACATTTAGTCAACTGTTCATTTGGGAAAATATAGCACATGCAAGCAAACACTAATACCTTCACTGCCTGACAGAAACATGGTTTTCTAGATCTAAAGCCACACCAGCACCAGGTCTCTTTAAATGTAACATTTTTGAAATGTAGACTAATAATATCAGTCTCTCATGCCTACTCTTAATAGCTGGAGCTAGCAAGTGGTTAAGCTTAGCATAAATACTGGAGGCAGGGGGACATATCTAAGCTGTTTTGTTCACTAGAAACACTGAAAACAATGTACTGCAACTGTCTTTATGACACTCTGTTGTTGTTCTACAGAGGACCTTCCAGGTGGAAAGAGGCAAGACTGCGAATGGGCTTGCAGAGTCTTATGACAGAACATCCAGATACTCACATGGTAAGAGGCAAAAGGCATGAGATCACTGCTGTATTTTGGTGCTCCAGCTCAGTTGTCCTCACTTTACTGGGCTACTGAAAACTCTGTCACTGTCCATCTCTTTATTTAATGTTTGTGTTCTCTCACTGAGTTTTTAATGACTGTCTGTCAGAAATCATGTTGGACAATCCCCACACATCCAATTTATAAAATAAATCTCTATTAAGTTGCAGCAGAGCAGATCTGTCAGGGCCTTTGGTATTTAAAGTGTCACCATGTAAATTCTGCCAGTGGGGTAAACACTAACCACTGTGTTCTTTGCCTTGTGAGTTATAGGGAAACAGCTAAATAAAGACAAGGATGTAGTGCCATAAATGCATGACTGTGGGTTTGGCACACGTGCTTAAGATAGAAGTGAGGCTGCCACTACCAGCTATGACTGTGATGCAGACCTTGGCCCATCGGAGCCATGCGTCATTATGTCCTGTTACTGGTGTAGCCTCAGCATAGTGACATTTTGACCCTCTGATGCATCTTGTGTAAGTAAAACATAGAAGAGTTTGAGTGGACATCTGCAATGTCCTCTGTAGAGTTTTTGAGAATTACTGACAAAAAGTCATAGTGTGTGTGTGTTATTTTTTTTAAATTACGAAAATAGTTTATAATTCTACCCCCAAATTATGTTTGAACCACTAGAATTTTTTTTTTTTAGGATTTCCTAGTAGAGCCCATCAGAATATATGTAAAATACTCATGAAATGGCTTCCTTAGGCGCCTTGTCACTGTAGCACCTTACCAAAATAGGACTTTTGGTGCATTCCTGTGTATGTGTGTTTTATTATGTTGCTTCCCCCCCACCCCAAACACTCACTGACACACATACTGCAGGTCCCACCCAGTGCCTGTTATAGTGGGTGACAATGTAGCAATGTGGGGGGAGGGTGTCCCTGTTCCTCAGTGAGTAAGAGGGGTGATTGACTCAGCCAAGTAGCTGCCAGCCCACCAGCCCAAAATAGCCAAGGTCTTTTACTGGGGCAGCAGGCTATGATAAAAATCAGCTGCCACTGAGGTCACAGGACCAGAAAGAGATCAGTCCCAGTTAGCACGGACAGAGGAGACTGTGTTGCGCATCACACAAGCTATCAAACACAGCGGAGATACACAGCGAAGTGACAGAGAACAACGCTGGATGGTACTTTAGTGAGTATATAATGAGTGTTAACCTTATTGAAATGGAAGAAACTGAAACAATTTTGTAGCTATTACACAAATAGCAGAGCTTACTTTATATGACCTATACATATTTCATAAATATACATTGTTTTGTATTAGTACATTTAGACAGGTAGGATTTGCATCTGTTAGACAAGTGGAATGACCAGGAGTGTAGTGAATGCCATTTATTTTAAATTATTTTATTTAAGCAACCCAAAAATATAAATTCTATTGAATTTAAAAGCATTAAACAAACTACTAGGTCTTCTAATGAATGTCACTTGTGGCTTTTCCCGTTAGGGGTCGCCACAGCAAATCGTCACACTGATGATTTGCACGTTCAAATTTGGCACGTGTTTTATGCCGGATGGCCTTCCTGACGCGACCCTGGCTCGAACTCAGGCCACAGCGGCGAGAGCGCTGAATCCTAGCCACTAGTCTGTCATTATTTTAATGATCAATTCATTGCCCGATAAAATGTCAAAAAACAGCAGAAAAATTCCCAAACTGACCAAGGCATTGTCTTCAAATGTCTTGACAATGATACAGAATATGACAACGAAAAGCAGAAAATCCTGCCATTTAAAAGGCTGAAGCCAGTGTGTTTTACACTTTCCACAGTTTGTGTTTGAAAAACAACAATTATCTTTTTTTGATTTGTTGTTTCAGCTCTAGAATTGACAAAAGAAAAAATTAGATGATCCAGATGCTTTGGATTGTAGCTCTATTTGTGCCTATTTCATTGAATGATGTCACAGCGAACAAAACAAGATCAGACACTGAAATGTCTTAAGTGTCATTAAGTCTTAAGTGGCTATCTTTTTTTTTTTTCATCCCACCCCCCCATCCTTAGAAATATCTGGAATGGGAGGTCAGAACAGGATTTACCTTCCTTTCAAAAGCTGTGAATTAGGAAGTAGCATCTAGGTTATAAAAACAAAAAGGAAAAATTAAATATGGCTTTCATTTCATATGGTGTTTGCGGACCCTCCACTATGAGCTACCTTTTGGCATGCTGGTCTTCGTTACAGTCTGTGAATGTGGCTACAATCCTCAACAGGTGTTGGTTGTAAGGGTGGTAGTGGTGAAGAACAAATACCAACTGCACCGTCATTAGTTCAGCTGTCAGCGGCCCAGAACGCCCTCACAGTACTGTAGCATTAATAGATCCTCTATTCCTGGAGAATAGCTCCTAAAAATTGCTTTCAAAGTGTGTGACCATCATTGAGAAAGGTACAGCCGAGGTCAGTGAATCATTTTTGATGGTTGGCTTTTACAAAACGGTATTTCATCAGCTATCACCGTGTGCTAGTTTAACGGATGAGGACTTTGACAGAACATGTGTGGTGCTGTGTTGCCTCATTCTGTCTGCTCATCCATCTATGAAAATGATTTAAGTCCAGATTAATGAGAGGCGCCAGTTTGCTTGTCCATCCTTTTGTCCTGTGAAGGCTTAGTGTGTGAACAAGGGAGGTGTACTCAACTCGCGCCACTAGTTACAGCTGGATGGCCTGTATAACACATCAGGCTGTTGACCTCCAACTACATATTGTTCACAACACTGTAATTTTTATTTTCTGAATGAACCATTTCTTAACTCTGCACGTTCTATAAATTCAGCTGCAGATTAAATCCGAGTTCATTTCCATGTTTTTCATGGCATCAGGCAGCCGTATTCCTTTGTTCAGGTGTTGATGGTTTGATGGCTGAGCATTCATTCAAACAATGTGCAGATAATCTATGTCACTCCAGCTGAACTAGCAGGTGCTGGTTCATGGCATGTGGTTTGGTGAGGGTCCTAGGCCGCAGGCAGGCGGTGTGGGCCAATTTGTCCTGTCAGCTCCAGGGATCAAAGCCTTTGTAAACTGTCCTGTTTGTTGCAGGTTTTCTCTGTAGCACAGTAAATGCTATTTAAATCAGTCCACCAAGCTTCTTAAAATCACTGTTAGGATTCCATATACTGTAGACTCTGTTGTGGATGAAACAGTTTCCACAAGTTAAAGCTTCAGTGATAAGATTCACTATAAATACACACACAGTGTTATCATTAAAGTTGCTGCTGACACTAGACAGCCTACCTTGCTTATTTTGGGAATCAATAACATCAGAGTCCTACATGTACTCATATGTGCCACTGAATCTACACTAGCAAAATGGATACGATCACAAGGTTACTGTATTAAACTCCAGTTAATGTTTCACTGAAGAAATGACTTGCATTTTGGTTAGATATGTTTATTGGATTTAAGCCCTGTGATAGATTGATGACCTGTCCAGGGTGTACCCCTCCTCTTGCTCAGTGGCAGACCCTCCACAACCCTATTAAGGAATAAACAGTATGGATAATGGATGGATGTTGTTGGATTTACTTTTTTTTTCTATTGCAGATGATAAAATTAGTCCATCGCTGATCAAGGAGGGCATCCCAGCAAAACAATCCAGAGACAGGATATCTACTTCATCCTCAGTGAGAGACAGATCGGCTCTATATCTGTCAAGGGCAGCAACTATAAACTCCACAGGAGGCTCAACACAACCAGTGAGTTCCTGAAATGCCTCTCATGCCTTCCCAAACACTGAGGTCTAGGGCTTTAAAAAGGAATGACCACTATGCTCTGTCACAATAAGAGCAGCTCAACATTTTGCATTTAACTTATTACACATTGTAATTATTGCACATGTGTAGGGCAATGCTGTTATATACACATAAAGAAAATAATGCAACATTCATGATCCAGAGTGATCAAAATTTTACTTTATATTTTTTGTTGTTCAACAGAAATTTGTTGGTACTTCAGGAACTAGGGCTAAAAACAGCAAGGTACTGTATTCTACTGTTTTATTCTCACCCCTTATGGGATGTGTAGTGCCTGTAAAATGTGTGCTGTGGTAGTTCATTACTTTATTTTGCATGACCAAAGATGATTAACCTTTGACCTAGTACTCAAGATGCAATGTAACAGTGACATAAAATGACATTTACAATTAGATAAAAGTATTTCAGAACAACTTGGCTATTTCATATACAATATTTTATTCTCATGGCTACAGCATCAAAATTAATTTACTCACAATATACACTATATGAATTGTGACATAAGCAGATAGTTTTCTTTCAAATAATAAGATATAG